ATCTAGCAGACCGGGAAAATGCAATAGAATACATTAATCTCTGGTATAATTAATTATACCAAGACCAATTTAGCTGGCTAAATCTGCATACATGCTCCCTTATAAGTATTTCTGGGCCACAGATGTCTACTGACAATTTTGCTTTAAACCAACCATTTTGGACCCCCCCAGCATACATGGATGCCGCTGCACCACGTTAGCCAGCACAGCTTTTCTGACTAGCTTGCATAATACTCACTTCCCACCAGAAGTCTCGTTTTCTGCTTGCAACACATTCAGCCCAAAAAGTCAAAAAAAAAAAAAAAAGATTGGAAATGACTCCCCAATGACTACACCCCACAAAGAATGGCAGGGAATCTTTCAGGCAAGTTTGTGATAGCACACGAGCGATTTGCCCAAGTCACACAGCTACTAGAGATTTACCTCTGATTTTAACAATCCACCTGCTACAAGCTGTACAGCTTATCTAATTGTGGTTCAGTTCAAAATAAATGGACTAAAGTTCCCATCAGCATGAGAGACCTGCTGCAGTTAGGTGAGCAAAGAAGAGGCGAGAGCTAACTTCATGGCACCAGCCGTTACTGTGACAGGCCAAAATCTGCAGCCGGAGAGCAGATTAAGACGACGGCAGAGGGAAGGGATCACTGACAGAAGAGGAAGGTAAACTGTTGTAATTTCGAATCTGCCTTAAGGTTTCTCGTGCATAAACTAGCACTGCAGTACTGTTATCAAACTGTATCAGTTCTCCAATTGAATGGCAGTGCAAGAAGAACAAAAATTGGGCCTCAAAAAGGAAAATATGTATAACAATATCATACTGCACAATTAAGTACGACTGATCAAATAATACTAAAGTCTAAAGATCCCAAGCATTTGAGTAGATTCTGCAAGCCAAAGTCAACCCTCCTCTGTATTTCTCAGTCTGTAAACATGCCAGGACATAAAATTTCACAATGGACAAACAAAAGAATGGTCGGAAATCGGTAATATTTTCAAACGTTCTAACAGTAAACAAATTCAGCCAAATCTCTAACCGATTTTCATCGGTGCTGAAAAGCACATACATCTTTGTAGTGACAAAATAGCTCTTCTTTAAATCCAGAGTACGAATCCAACCCTTCCAACTCAAGAGTTTCACATCCATAAACTAAAACTGAACCATGTGCTTGTAACTGCCAGAAGAAAACTTTTTTCCAGAATTTCATGATACTGAGGCACAGGGAAGGCACTGAGACTGACGCATAGGACTGTCTCAGAATCGGTACTTTTTGTTGCTTTGCACCATATCCATCTTTAGGAGCTGTAACTCTACAGAGTTGTACTGAGTGGCCCAGCTGGCTTCTGAACTGAATGCTCATGGAAACTGGAAGCCACCTTAACAAACATTGCTAGCGTATATGCTCTTATTGTATTCTCAAACATCCAGACCTGATGCCTGCAGAAGAAAAAAAAAAAAAAAAAAATGTTAGTTTTATCCAGACTTGAGTTGCCCAAGTCAATTTGCAGTACAAACACTTTCAGAGAAAGATTTGTGTTCAGTGCTGCTCAATTCCAAAACCAGCAGAAAAGTGAGGGATTTTCCCCCTCAAATACCACACACATAACTCGATTCCCGCTCTAAAATTTCAGACCAAAAAGCAGTGTCTGAAGAAAGCATAGACAAAAAAGCCATTAGGCCTGTCTGCTTTTGAGTAATAAGTAACAGTGTAACTATATGGGTGATCATACTCTGGCACAAATATTGCTAACATAGGCAGGCCACTAAGATGAGAATAGCTTTATTTCCTTAGCTACTGCAGGAAGCCATTAGTGTCTGTAAGAAGAATAATAATTCAGCAAGGTGCTAACATCACAGGAAGTTTTTAAAAGAATTTATCTTATTACAAGCAGAATAGACACATACTCTGCAAAAGTAGGAAGCAAAATGTATTATCCCCATTTTACAGTCAGAAAGACTGTAAAAAATAAAAGTACAGTAAACTAAAAAGTAAAAATAGAAGGCCTGCCTTTTCGAAATTATTATTTTGAATGCTCAGGTTGAGGCGTGGATACCCAGACCTTTTGAAAATCAGGTCTCAAATGCCTGCAAGTCACAAGGTCTGCAAAGTGACAGCCAGGAATGGCTGTTCAGGAGGCATGCAGATCTCTGTGGTCTTGAGATTAAGAGCACACATCACATTGGACACAGTAAACCGGGTAAGTGATATTACCCGAGCTCCTCTGTCCTTCCAAATCAATCAGACCTGGGATGGCTTTCCCACGCTATGTGCTGGTTTGCTCTGCAAAACCCTTGTCAAATATGCTCAAGAACAGAAACAAGGCGTAGCTGCGTCTACACCTGAAGAACTTCCAGTCCAGTACGGGACAACAAGGAGCAGACAAAGTTTCAGCATAACTCCCAGAGAGGTCAACATTGCCTGGCTACCACTTTGGCTCCAGTGGGCTCAGGTTTTATCAGCAGAGCATCATCTGATCACGATACCAAGCGCCTCAGCTGAAGGAGCTGGTGCTCCAGAGGGGCAGCTGGAAGGAGAAACGAGCGTCAGGAACAAAACCACTCCAACAACGGGAGTGCCAGGAGATGGGCAAAGGAGTGGACTGCGGTCCTGCTCTGCTCTTGACGTCCTTGGAGCTGAGCCATTCCAGTCCCATTCCTGTACTACCGCATCCCTCTCCCAGAAAAATCTCTTCTGATCACAGCGAGCTAACAGACCTGAGCTGGTTACAGAAGGGATGCCTCCTCTCCAAAACTTTACGACTCATTGCTTTGGAATATAGGCATCTCATCCCTTCGCTTACAGTCGTAACAGACGCCGGTGATACGAGGGGCCTGTGATTCACGACGAAAAGGCATGCACGAGAGAGATCATAAGTTGCAAACAAAGCTGCCTCTGTTTCAGCGACACGTTCATGTGTTAAAACAATGCTGGAGCAGTGAAAGAGCTGCCTCAGATAGTAAGGAAAAATCACCGGCCTAACTGCTACCCTGCGCAACGGGGGAGGATTGAGGCACTGTTTTCTCAGCGGTACAAAGAAGAACAGCCACAGAGGTGTGCACCCGCATCCCTTCTGGAAACGGTTCCTTTCGACGGGTTAGATTTGCCTTGACTTCCAGAGGATTGCTGTAGCTCCTCATCTTCCACAGGACGGTGCTCTCTCCTACCTCCTCTGTAGGACCGATTAGGCAGGGACGGCGCTTTGAAAGCCCAAAGCAAACCCACCCGTGACCCCAGACCAACTTCCCCGCGTTTAAATCCTCGACCCTCCTACCGGGGCGCAGCCGCCTCCCGGCGGCGTGCTCGGACCTCCCGCTTTAACCCGGACGCACCGGGAAGCGTCTGCAAGGAGAGCCCCGGCACCCCGTGCCCTGACTTACCGGCGGGGGGGAAAAAAAGCCCCAGGAAGCCCCCCCCCC